GCCTCTTCCTAAAATTATCCTATATATATAAATATGTATGTGTGTGTGCGTATATATATAATTAGATCTATATACATATCTAGATCTAGATTATCTTACCGAGAAATCTACCAGACAACCTCACAGCGGTATTATTATATCTAGATCTAGACTACAGTTTAATGTAGATCCTACTCCTTTACACCAGTCTAGATTTTTGGGACTTTGGAAGAAAGACAAAAGAAGTTTCTTTTTCCATGAGTTACCACAGCTAAGGACTGCTAACTAATGCCCATAACGAGATAAAAGTTTGCTTCGAAGCTCCCTTCGACACGTCCGTCAGCGCATTGTTTGTTGAAGAACAGAAGGAAAAATGCGAATAGAATGAGGTACTGAGGGACTAGGCCTAGTTTCGGGAATTCCCGTACGATTCAACAGCCGCCGCTAGGGGCGCTGCAAACAGCTGTGGATACTATTTTTAGCGGGTGAGCCGTAGACTTCTAAACCTAAAGTAGCCTCAAAAAGTAACTTTTTAAAGTAAATCGAAGGCCTCTTCGCTCCAATTTTATTGCACTTGCTGCTGTTGTTACTGTTTGCTGTTGCTGTTGAGGCAAGAAACAATGTCTACCCGCAAAAGGAAAAGTCTAACTCTACAAGAACGGCTGCTGGTTATCAAACTGGGCGATGAAGGCAATTCATCGAGAGTCATTGCACAGCGATTTCAAGTCGGGAAAACGCAAATTCAAGGTACACTGAAAAGGAAAGCAGAGTTGACGGCAGAGTTTGAAGCTTCGGCACCTCTCGACAAACGACGTAACGCGAAGGTCACTGGCAACGAACCGATCAACGAACTCCTCTACAAATGGTTCCAAGATGCAACAAGTCAAAGAATAAACGTAACAGGACCCATGCTCAAAAAGAAAGCACTGACATTCGCAAGTGATCTTGGCATAACGACGTTTTCTGCTTCCAACGGCTGGCTGCAGTCTTTCACCAAACGCAACAGCCTGGTGTTTGGAAAAATGACGAGACGTTTCTACAAGGCCGGGCTTCGGCCACCCAACCAGAGAGAGGACGCCTCTGATGGACAGATGGAAGCACCAGATAGATCTAGCCTCCACCCGCTGACCAACGCCCAGAGAGTACCGTTTTCAAGACTTCCTCAAACTCAAACTGATGATAGTCTGGCAACAGACTTGCTCACAAGTTTCAAAACTGAGGACGATGCAGATGACGAGACCGACGAAAATGACTCCACAGAAAACACAGTGTCGACACAAGAAGCCTTTTCTGCTTTAAGCACACTGCGTCTTTTCCTGCAACAGAGGCGTCTCCTGCCATCACTCCAGCAACTGAGAACCATCGAAGATGAAATGGCGACGAGAAATTTTAATGAGGAAATCAGCAGCACTCGCAGACTTTCTTGTGTTCAAGCAAAAACAGAGACATGAATAATATTTGGACAGCGGAGACAGCCGGGAGGCGAGGGCCCGGGAACTCTCTTCTTTTGTTTTAGTAAGAGTTTTACGGCGCTTTTGCAACACAATAAAGTCATAAAAATGCCGAAGATTAGAGAGCTGCCGGGACCCGAGAAAAAGATCAACTTGACCGAAGATCAACTCAAGCGAGTTCAACACAAGTGGTGTCGACTGTATAAAACATTTTAATGGGCCTTACGGCAGTCCTAAGCCTGCGACCAACTCCGGTTGGGAACTCAGAAGGGAATGTTTTAACAAAAAAACACCCCCCCCCCCCCAAAA